AAACTAAGTAACTAACTAACTCGAGTCAATTGAACCTTCATGTCCTTAGTTTGCTTTAAAAAATGCAAGTCAATTATAACATCAATTTAAAAAATGATGCTAAAATCAGTGAAGCTAAATATATTTTGAGGGAAAAATAGTTAGGGTTCAAAAGGATTTTAAAGGGAAAAAATAGAAAACTTAACTTGAAAAATTTCATCTTAGTGGGAACTAAAAAAATAAGTTGCGAGTTTTCTTTGCCAATTTACCCTAAAAACTTTTAGTAACATCATTTACGACAAAAATGATGCAAAGCTATTATAATTAGCATCATATACCATAAACGATACCAAATTTTCTATTGTTAACGTCATTTATTTATAATTGATGCAAATTTTAATATTTTAACTTCGTTTTAGTAAAGTGATGCTACAAATAACGCTTTTTATTTAATTTTAGTGCCAGTTTTGCAAATGATGTTAAATAACTGATGCAACATAGTTAATTTCTAGTAGTGACATTTGATAATTTGACAAAAAGTTTACAACACATCTTATAGGAATTGGAAGAATAGTCTCGATATCAGAGGATATTATTGTTGTTCGATCAAAAAAAATATTAATATTAATAGTCTTGATATCTGAGAATTCAACAATATGTACATATCAATGATAAGATTTGTAGTGTACGTACATGAAAATATTAATAACGATTAAATCCTATCTTCATTTATTTATTAACTCTCCAACCACCCAGTATGAATACCGATTACATCTTTTACGTTGATTTATATTTTAAAATTAATTAATGAACATTATGTTCCACTATATTGTTGGTGGAGAATATGTAAAGTTTCAAACTGAACCCGTAAACGTACTCGATAATATTAAGATACACATACATGTACACAACCGCACCAAACAACTACATCCTAAAAATCCCCCTAATTGAAGCATGATCAAACCAATGATGTTGTTGGTAAGAAAGAAAAAGTTAGTAAAAATTGTAATTTAAACCAACCATCTCCTCATGAATAAGTTAAGAAAAAAATGGTCATAATATACGTCATAATGTACGTACATTTTCTACTCTGGTTGAACCCTGCATCATTTACATAACATATGATATTTAATTTTTTAAAAGTTATGTACGTACATTATGTAATAAGTTATATACGTACATGTGTAATAATGTACGTACATCTTGGTTGATGTTTTGTGATTTAAATTTGTTGAGATATATTTATTGATATAAGAGCAAACCAATATTGGCGATGATCGATGTTTTTTCCATCACGTACACGTTCATTATTATACGAACAAGTTTCTAAAAATCATGTCCCCAACATCCCTAACATGTCATGTTCCATATTTATAAACAAAAAAAATTAGTCCACTTATTGTAATATAATCTTCGTCACTACCTTTTTTTTTTCTTCTCTTCGTCGTCGTCATCATTTTTTTCTCCATCCTCTCTACTGTCTTATAATTCTTTTTACTCATCTATTTTTTCATCCACATTTGGATCCTCCAATATGGGTTTTGTTGTGTTTTCACCTCCAGCATACGGTTAGTTTCATCAGCAAGGTCCTCGATCATGCACAAACTATTCACACATTCCTTAACGGTTGGACAAAACGACAAAAATATGTGTACACTTGGATCTCCACTATGAATAAATAGAATGTATCCGAGCTCACTTGTTTGTGATAGTTTTACTTATCTTCTTACAAAGCCCTACACATGGGATAATGACACTTTTCTCCCCGTGATGATCAACACTTTGTCTCTTACGTACACAATATTACATGTTTACGTACATAGTCTCACCAATACATGTATGTACAGTACTTGATCATGTTTCTCGTGAAGTCATCTAAGAAGACATCTTCAACAAGAATTTATTTGTCTTGTAATAATTTATGTCAAATAGTAGTAAGAATTTATTTGCCTTGTAAAACAATTTGATTTATATATATTATTCAGATTAATAATTAATGATGATTTTGTAATTTCTAATTTAATTTCAAAATTCATATAATTATTGGAAACAAATTGGTAAGATATTTTTGGTTGGAATATGTCCTTATTTAGATTTCTTCTATGTAAGTGTATGCAAGTTACGGTGTACGCATTATTGATCTATGGACGTGTACGTCTGTTATATTATATATACTATTGTGGAGGAGGTGTACGTAATGTTTACAGAGTTTGTATCTTAGCTTTTCGACTTCAAAATATGCTAATATAAACTAGATTTACAAAATATATTTGTATAAAACAATAAAACGTAAAAAAAAACAAAAGATTATGAGAAAACTGTGAACAATGACTACAAAATTAGGATTACAGAAGAAGAAGCTCGGGTTGAAGATGATTACAAACTCACAGTGATGCCTTTAAGTACATGGACATGTACGTTTTTTAGATTATGTACCACTTTTGAAGCAGTGTACGTGTAATATTTACAAATTTTTACATTATAAAACTTGGTTAATTTGACTAGCATTTCATAATATACCTTGAATGAATTCGAAATATGGAATGTTACACCATTTTTGGTCCTTTTAAGAATCTTTGAAACGTTTGATATCTATGATGGTACACAAGGCGAATTAGCCAAATGTTGTATATTTAGTAAAATATATATGATATTTCTATCTTGATATTGTTCTTTCTATGTAATTGTTATTTTAAATTTTTTTAATGAGCGTTATGTTACACGATATTATTAGTGGAGAACAAAAAAGATTCTAAACTAAACCGTAAACGTACACGGTAATATTGAGATACACGTACACGTACACGACCGCTCCAAACAGTTACATCCTAAAAATGCCTAAATCACATTCACGTGGTAAGCGAAAATCACGGATTTACGTTTGTGGCGGGAAAATTACACATTTTTATTTTTGGTTAAAAATTATAAATTTTATTAGCGGAAAAATCATGGATTTACGTTTTTGGCGGGAAAATTACGGATTTACGTTTTTTGCGGGAAATTATACATTCTCGTTTTTCGTTAAAAATTATAAAAATTTTGGCGGGAAAATTACGGATTTACGTTTTTGGCGGAAAAATTATATATTTTTGTTTTTGGTTAAAATTTATAAAAAAATTTGGCGGGAAAATCACGGATTTACGTTTTTGGCGGGAAAATTGCGGATTTACGTTTTGGCGGGAAAATTACACAATTTTGTTTTTGGTTAAAAATTATAAAAAAATTTGGCGGGAAAATTACGGATTTACGTTTTTGACAGGAAAATCACGAATTTATAATTTTGATGAGAAAATTGTATATTCTCATTTTTGGCGAGAAAATTAAGGACTATATTCAATCGGTTTAGAAGTTTTTGTAAGACTCAAATTGAAACCGGTTTAGAGATTTGAATGGTTCAATTCAATTTAACAAAAATTGATGAGTTAAATGAGTAAACCATTGAAACCATTGACCCATTACAAACCAACTCATTTGATTCATCAACCTATTTGACTCAATAACTCATTTGATCCATCAACTCATTTGAATCAAAATTTTCAACTCATTAGGATTCATAGGTTGAGTTGAGTTGGGTTAACTCATGAATCTTGACCCATTTTGACACCTCTACGTACACATGACTACATGATATTTGTTAATCTCGAATTGTCTTCAACGACACAATTAAAATTAAAAATTAATTATTATGCAAAGTAAAAATAAAAATATGAAAATGGATCTTAAAAGATAGAAAAAAATGAATTTTAACTTAAAGTACAAAAATTATAAATATTTACAAATTTGAAAAGAGAGAAAAATGTGTAAACAAAAGAGGGTGACAAATAATAATTATCTTATTTTATTTCTGTTTTTCTATTTTTAATATATATATATATATATATATATTTTTACACTGTATATTAGTCTAAAACCAACAAAATGTGTGTATAATATCTAACTAGTTACTGTACTTGACTAGATTGGCTAACTATTTCGTTCATATTTATTTTACACTTGTTTTGCTGGCAGAGGCATTTTCGTCTAAAAATACACTAATTGCTAAAACTTGAAAACTAAATCTCACTTTGCCAAATCATGGTTTAAAAACGGGAAAAATACCAATTAAATGCTGAACTTTTTCATTACGTCGTTTTTAATCCCCAACTTTGCCTGAAACGATTTAAATGCTAAACTTTCTTTGACTTTCCATTTAAATGCCAAACTTTGTTTGACTTTGTCATTTAAGACCCGACGTTAAGTCGATTAACGGAACAATTAAACGCTGATTAAATACCGTTAACAGTTCCTCTTAAATTAAAACGATGCCGTTTTAATACACATAAACGACGTCGTTTTTTGAATTTACAAAACCCCAATCAAACTCATTTGCCCTAAATCAAAAAATCTCCAAACCCATAACCCTAGAAATCGAAAGCTTCAGATTTCTTTCATTCTCTTCTGGGATTTTCTCATTCTCTTTTGGATTCATTCTTGTGATTCTCTCAACTTGTTATAATGAGTTCAAGTTCTATAACATCGAACGTTGTCGGAGTCCGTGGTGTGCCGTCGAAGTGTAATCAATTTCTAGGGTTATGAATTTGGGGATTTTTTGATTTGGGGCAAATGAAATCGAATTTGGGTTTTGTAAATTGAGAAAACGACGTGTTGATGTATGTTAGAAACAACATTGTTTTAATTCAATCTAGCTGTTAACGGCATTTAATCAGCGTTTAATTACTCCGTTAATCAATTTAACGTCGGGTCTTAAATGGCAAAGTCAAACAAAGTTTGGCATTTAAATAGAAAGTCAAAGAAAGTTCAGCATTTAAATCGTTTCAGCAAAAGTTGGGGATTAAAAACGACGTAATGAAAAAGTTCAACATTTAATTTGCATTTTTCCCGTTTAAAAACATGGTCAACTGTCCTGCCATGTAATTTACCAAAAAAAAAAATAACACGAGGCGTGTGTGGGTGTGAACCAATAGGAAAACAGAATAAAGGAGATGGCACTATCGTAAATAGTAAAGTTAGCAAAGGGGGAATTAGAAATTAGATTGTATCTCCTCTGTGCCCTGATTTGCTGAAATTGAAATCGACAAAATCGAAACCTAGGGTTTACTCAGTCCATGGAGGATCCCAGTTTGAGCACCGAGCCCGAGGTGATGGATCTCTCTTCGTCTTGTGGAAAACGCAAGGCCGAAACGATTTCACCGGATGAAGGATGCGAGGAAGAGGAGAGAAACAGTGAAAGCGACGACCAGGTTTGGGGTTTCGATAGTTTCGAAGGATCAGACTACGAGTCGCCTGATGAGCCTCCCGAGGATGACGAGGAACTTGAGTTACGTCGATACACGCGCCATTACCACGAGAGCCAGGTTTGTTGAAACGAACGATTCACTTCTAAAAATTCGTCAAATTTGAATCTTGGTAAAAAGCTTGAAATCTTGTGTATAATTGTGCGGTGGTTACAGGGTTTCAAAGTGGATAAAGATAAGCTGCCTAAATATCTTACTTACGGATTACGCGGTCTCGATCTGGATGCCCACTTCTTCAAGCCAAACCTCACGGGGCGTGAGTACATGGAGATTATGGCCAATGTGGCTATTGACAAATACAACCAAGTAGAGAATAAGACGGTTACGCTTGATCATATAGTGAGGGTCGTGGTGCAAATGAGCTATGGAATCAAAGGTTATATTACTTTCATGGCAAAGGAGTCTCCTCATGGAGAGCTTGTGGAGTATCAAGCTAAGGCTGAGCGCAAGGCATGGCAAAGAAACATTCATCCCATCTTTTGCAGACCAGCTCCCTCTTAATTTTAAGGTGATGGATTCTTTCTTTTCTTCCTAATTAATTACTAATTATATGTATTGGTTGAGAGAGATTATTATTATATTCACTTTTGTATCTGGTTAATCATTGTTTTCTTGAAATATATATATATATATATATATATATATATATATATATATATATATATATATATATAAGACTTTAATCTTTGTGTTTGTTTTTGCTTCTGTTTTCAACCTCGTCTTTAACCTCGAGTATCTTTGTGTTTGCTTCTGTTTATTATCATATATGATTCTTATAATCGCTATTCGATAAAGTTACTCCAATGATATGTGTTCTCTTTTTCTAATTGCAGGATTGATGGTGTGGTTGGGCGTTCCCAATGCCCAGGCCAGGTAGATTAAGTAGTTATGAATTTTTTTCTTTTTTTTCTTGATGCCCTATGGACTAAAACTTTTATGATCAGAACTCGATTTATGTTTGTGTAAGGTTTCTTGTGGGGGTTAAATTATTTAAAAAAGACTGAGACCTTTATATATCCGGTTGAGATCCCATTGTATCCAAGTACTGTAGTTGGTTTATTACTAAATCCGTGAAGCTAATCTCATCTATTTAATTTGTTCAGTTAAAATTAAGTGGATGTAGGAGATTTATTATAATCAATAAGTTGTGACATAAGTAATCGGAAGAAAAAAAAAACAAATGATTTGAGCATAAGAAAAAGATATTTATAAGTGAAAGAAGTGAACAAGGCTAAAAATGCCAGAAGAGGAGTCTCTAAAACGTTTAAATAAAAATACTTGGTTCCCATTGCTAGTAACAGTTAGGGAATAAGAAGACAAAAACCAAAAAGAACCAAATCTCTCAAGTAACTAGGCCTGACCCAAATCTGGTCAAGTTAGATATTTGGATAAACAAGTGTGGTCGTGGATATGTCATCTATGAAGATTCGTCCAAAACCTTTCACACCCCAATCTTCTCCCCAACTATTCTGAATCAAAAAGAATAGTCGATTGTCTTTGGTGTAGCCATAGCCGACAATGAGAACTGCGTGCCCCTCTACTTCGCCATCTTCCATATCTACGCCGCTTACCTTGTAGATACCCTGAAAGCAATAAAAAAAAAATAGTTAGTTGATCCAGTTAATTACTTCTATCACAGAGATCATATTTGACTTCTTAGTTACTAACATTGCCAATGAAATGGAATTCGTCAGCTATATCAAACGATATGACAACTGGAGAGATATCAACTTTGGACTTGATGAAATCCACTGAAGGACATTTCTCCATTGAAAAGTTCCACTTGCCATGATATCCAATCTCGCTCCCAGCCTCCATTCAAATCATAAAAAGAAGAAAAGAAATGAAACTAATTAGTTTGTAACAAACCCAAGAAAGAAGTGTATCTTTAAAACGAAGTACTGTGATATTTGAATTACAAGTACCTTTGTAACTCCCGTTGCTTTAATTTTAAGCAATCCATTAACTGCTATATGTTTAATAGCATCTTTAAGGTTCTGAAGTTTCAACGACGCCGGTCGTTTGCCTGGATTTTTTTTCGTCTTCAAATGCACGACGAGGTCATCATGAAGGAAGCTTTTGCGGTTAGTTATATTATCTCGAGTTATGTTGTAAATAGCCTGGAGAAGACGTGTCAATGCGATGGCCCAACATATCTCTGCAATTGGTACTCACAATTTTAATTTTATCAACCCAGATATTTACTTGTAGATATTAATTACACATTGTCAAAAGATAAACATTAATCAAACACAAATATAAATATAACTATTATAAACAACTAATAAGAAAACAAAAAGTTACCAAATTTTTGCTTCAGGACTTTGTCAACTATATCTGGATCACCTCTGTAATCTCTGGATAGTTTGCTTCCATCTCCAAATTCCTTAACATATAAAGTGAGGTCAAATAGAGTTTAGAGATATAAAACACAACCATTTAAATAATCAAACTAATACAGTTTTAAAACACAACAATTTAAATAATCAAACTAATATAGATATAAAACACAACCATTTCTTCAGTTTGACGGTATAGTAACATATTTGTATATATAAATTAAAATCAGTTTCTTTTTTTGGTAGGAAATTAAAATCAGTTATTTACCTTTACCTCTTGAGTTTTTTTTTTTTTTTTAAATAATAAAAATAATTAGTTAGTAGTAATTAAATCTATATACCATCTTATATACATATTGCAATTTAAGTAACATGGTTTTGATCTAACCCCATCGTCACTTTGAGTCACTGGTGTGATATTTGGGCCTTTCTTCCTAGCAGCCGCGGCTTCAAGCTTAAGCTCATTAGGACCTTTTGGCGTCTTAGGTTTGCCACCTATGCTTGACTCGCTTTTCCCCATTTCCTACAAAATCATGTGTCAAAAAATGTAAAATCAAATTAGGACTATATGAAACAAACAATAGTAAAAAAAAAAAAGAGCAACAGATTAACAAGGACACAAATTATTGATGAGTCAAGAATACTATCAAACTGAAGAAATGATTCCCAAACCTATCAAATCTACAATCAAGAAGTTGTGAAAGCAAAAAATATTATTTGTCATATAAGTAAAATTAACTAGATCTCTTCCGTATCTAATCTTTTATCTACATGTAGTAAAACCCTAATGCTTAATCTTTAGAATTCCATGAATGTAACCTTTTTTACACTTAGACTTGACACAAAGCACTTCGAAATGCCTCAAAGAACACAAACTTCCACCAGGAACCAAAAATCTCTAGTTAGAAGCATTAAACGGTTCCAATAAACATCAATAAACCAAAAGAACGACAATATCTAACTATAATCATGCTAAAGCATGCTTTGAACTTCTCAAAGAAAAACAAATAAACACAACCACGGAAAAAAGTGAGCTTTTAGGCAAATACACACTCTTAATCTTTGGAATTTCATGAATGTAAACCCTTTTTTTAGACAAAGAACACAAACTTCCACAGCGAACCAAAATCTGTAGTTTAAAAGCATAAAACTATCCCAATCAACATCAACAAATCAAAAGAACGACAATCTCTAAACGCTATGAGCTTCTCCAAGAACAACAAATGAACACAACCACGGAAAAAAAGTGAGCTTTTATTAGGCAAATACACTCTCTTGATCTTTGGAATTTCATGAATGTAACCTTTTTTTACACTTAGATTTGACACAAATCACTTCGAACTGACTCAAAGAACACAAACTTCCACCGGGAACCAAAATCTCTAGTTTAACAGCGTAGAAGTATTCCAAATCAACATCAACAAACGAAAAGAACGACAATCTGTAACTACAATCATGCTAAAGCGTGTTTTGAACTTCCCCAAGAACAACAAATGAACACAACCACAGAAAAAAAGTGAGCTTTTAGGCAAAAACACTGTCTTTTTTATATAACATCAAAGGTGTTTTTGACACCAAAAACTCGTTCTTTTTTATGGCAAAAACACTCTTTTGAGAACAACAAATCGCACAAAAAAAAGAAAGAATTTCAGAAAGATAACATTTTTTTTTCATAGTCCATATACCTTTCTGGTGGAGAAAAAACAGTGACGGAGAGAATGGAGACAACAGAACTTAAAGGAAGTGATGCTAAGGAAGAAGGGTAAAACTAAAAACATTGGGATTATTTAATCGTAATGTCCAAAGTAACAAAATCTTTAGGGGGCCCCATTACTCGGTGATCGAATTCGACTCACACAGTCACACTCGATCACGTGATCAACATCTCCTACTTTCTAATTTTTCTTACTAATTGATAACCAAATTTTTAGGTTGACACAAGCCCTCATGTATATACGGTATTTAGCTAATTATTTTTGGTTGAGATTATATATTTTTTAAGAATATTAATTTTGGAAGAATTTTTATCAGTTTCAATCTTATTAATAAAAATAAAAAAATATTAGTTGTCATCAACACCGATACATATTATAAGTTTACGAAATATAATGATTGATCATAATTTTTTTTTTTTTTTTTGATTGATCATAAAATTTGTGTCCTTAATTTGTTTAGATAGTCTAAACGCATCAAAATTTACTGATACATTTTTTTTTTTGACCAGACATAAATGTTCCATTTTGTCTCTTTTTTGTGCATTTCGGTGCTTCAAAGGAATAGAAAGTATTTTCAGTTTTAAAAAATTAAGAAAAATATGCTTGCACGAAAAATTTGTGTTTAATCTTTTGATCATTTTAGAAATCAAATGATAACAATCATTTTACGTACCGTCTATAATAGTAGTTTTTAAACACCAGTCAATAGCTTGAAACCACCTACAATATGGTAAAATGTGCCAATTAATATTTAATAGTATGTACTAATTTATTTTAAGATACGAAGCCCATATAAACATTAATTTTCTGTCACGAAAGTCACATAAATGAATAGGTTTATGCATATACATATCTTTCCATTTTGGTGTAACGTACTAGATATCGAGAAGGTGACCCTCTGTGAAAATCCTGAGAAAAAGTAGACGGGGTATAATTAAAGACAGAAGAAATGGGCTTTGCATAATTTGAAAAAAGGGCATATATCATATACTGTATGTGATAATCAATTTTTTGTTTTCTTTTGTTTTTTTTCTATCTGTATATTATATAGCTAGTATAATGACATGTATCCCACAATTAAGAGACAAGATTACTAGCTGGACATATGGATCCCTAACCACAACATATTTGAACCCAAATTAGAATGGTTGTACATGTCATATTCTGTGACTGTTAATTTTCCTTATCTTTATCTTTTTCTATAGAACAAATACAAAATTATTATAAACTCAAATTAAGTATATATGTATAAACATGTATATTAAATATACTATAATACTCCCTCCGTTTCACAAAGAATGTCGTTTTAAAGTTTTAATCTTGTTTCACAAAGAGTGTCGTTTTGTGTTTTCAATGCAGTTTTAAAGACTAATTCTCTTTTTAACCTCACTATTTTAGCTTATTAATTAGAGAGAAAGTATTATTTAGTGTATTAATAAGAGGTAGAAATGAAATTTATTTACTTTTTTTTTAATTTGTGTGAAAAATGCTAGAATGACACTTTTGATGAAACAGAGGGAATAATAAAAACTAACTGAAATAATTAAATAATTAATATAAGTATGCACGGACAATTTTAGAAATGTATTGAAAAAAGCAGACAAACTTTATGATACATATGCCAATTTACGAGGGACAAATTGGTGCTACATTTACCGTTATCATTGTATAATAACCTAGCAATATCACAAAAACTTCAATTTATAATTGACTTGTTCCTCAAATTTAATGTCATATAAGTCACAGAGACATTTAAAACACCACATATTTGGTACGCATGATATTATGCAAATTTTCTTACTTATATAGTGGCAATTTTTTTTTTTTTTTTGGAGCATAGAGTTAGGGTTTGCTTGTGAGATGCATCGATCGAGACTACATTTCCACAATCGCCGGCCCATGGTCAAAGGTTGCAATCTTTTAGACTGAATAATGAAACAAGATTTTTACACATCCAGGTTTTGGCCGACATGAGAAAATTTATTTTGAGAAAAAATGGTTTCGTAATTTATTTTGCTTTCCAGCAGATACTACCTAATATTTTTAAAAAATTAAATCTGATAGAAAATAAAGTCTGTCAAATGGAAAATAATAAACCCTTGTTTCTATCCCCCAGTAGAAAAAGCATATCAGTAACAGTAAGATATATATATATATATATATATCACAGCTAGAATCTCTAATCATATATGGCATTTTTGGGACAAAAAGTAGTAGATATAATGGCATTTTGGTAAAAGGCCTGCCGCCAGCGAGTAGAGGTGACTAGAGTTAAGGTAGGGTTAGGGTTTGACAGAAACTTGATTTTTCAAATAAAAGAGAACAAAAAATTTGACGGCGAAGCTCGAAATGACAATCGTGGCCGTGTAAGATGCATCGAGACTAGGATTTCAAATATCAAAATTTGAAATTTACAACTAATATTCTGCTTTTATAAAAAATCTTCCGTTCAGAGCATCACAGTTATGACTTGTCGAGAGTAAAAAAATTAATTAGCTGACCTTTTTTTTTTAACACACAGCTTTAATTTGACTTGGCAAAACTTACATCTTTTGAAATGATCAAACCTGCAACATATTTTTGCTATGACATGACAGATATATAGATTCACGAATAACGACGTTTTATTACTGCTTTTTCTACTTTTGTCTATTTATTTGTACCTTAAAAATCTTTGCCCTGTTAGATATAACTTAGAGAAATTACATTAGATAACCTAAAAAAAAAACAAAATTAAATATCTAATCTCTAACCCCTCTATTCACTCTCTTTCTCTTTCTATCTCTCTCTACCTTCTTTCTAAAAAACTAATTTTTTTTTTTTTTTTGGTTATTCACCTAAATCACCCTATAACTTATGGTACAAAAAAAAAAATAATAATTATAAATTTTAAAAGTTTAAATTAACGAAATAATTTTTTTAAAAAAGAAGATATCATTGAGGCAAATTAATTTTAAAAAAAAAGAGAAGGAAAAACGAAAAACAATAAGGACAAAAAAATCTGACACGAGGGCATAACTGTAATCTACTTGAACGTCAAAATTGGGCAAAAGATTCTATATAGGGTTGTGCTCAGTCTTTTTATGGTTTATGAAACTGATATCATCTCAGCAAACTGAATTCTAAAGTTTTCATTCAATTATAGATCCCGATGCCAGCACTGACTGAACCGGAGCTGGATACATCTTGCGCCGATCTCTCTTTGTCTTCTGGAAAACGCAAGGCCCAAAACGTGTTCCTGTCTAACAACAGTAAAACGACGACCAGTATTGGGGATACTGACTACGAATATACAAAAGTTTCTGTATGACTTATAATTATGTTTGTGTTGGATTAAGGATATTTATATAAGTTATCAAAAATTTACACGACTGCTAACTTTTTGTTCCAACAAATTTGAGATCTAAAAAATCAGCTCCACTTTTTCGTGCCAAATAGTATGTTATTTTTTCTTTTTTGACAACCTCACTCACACACACATGTACACACACAAAAAAAAGACTAACCATCAACAAAATCAAATTTTTATAACAAACTGCAAACTCAAAATATGGAGAATTATGCTCTCATTGCCAAAATTCTACTTAGCAAAATGAGTAACTCAACAGAATTCAATTGGGCTGACTTGGGCTCTTATTCTCTCTTTCAAATTCTTCTTGGGCTGGGTATCATTTGATTCAAATTGGTTCTTCCTATGTACTTGAATGTCTCCTAACGGGCCATCATTTTCTGAAAATTTGAGAGGAAAAAAACTGCTCCTAATTCATTGTGGGACATAAGACTAGAGACTTCTAACTATTGGTGATTATGTCTTGGACTTTTGGCTCATGTCCCATACCTTAGACAATTTAAACGTAGTTAATGATGGATAAGATATGATTTAGTTAAAACATGCAGTATTCAAAAACTTGACAAATGCATGAATTGGTAGTTGGATTCTTTTGTTCATTTTTGTTGCAAGGATATTTTGTTGGTTCAGTTTAGATTTCTGTCATGGTTTACCAAAAAAAATAGGGGTTAGCAATTTGACACAATTCTATAATTTGGAACAATTTCAAGAAATAATGATAGTGATATATATTCAAGAGAACATCTTCGTTTATAAATTGTACATATACATTGCTACATTAGCAATAAGTTAAACAAGAAGCAACAAGAAAAGAGTTTCTTCGATATGATCGTCAAATTTCCGGAAAGAAAGAAAAAGCCCCTAATCCAAAAAAGAAGAAGAAGGAAATATCCCAAAATCAAAAACCCTAAATCGAATCAAAATCCTTTCTAATAAGAATGAAATAACCCAAAACAGCACAAACCGCAGCAACAGCATTGCCTTCTTTCAAAAGAACCTTAAACACAAATCCAAACACTTCTCTTGTAATCTTACGAGCTTCAACAACCAATACCCTTCTCGATTTCCCAAAAAACGCAAGCAACACAACCACCGATATCCAAATCACCATAACCGCCGGGACAGCAACCGCAGCCGCCGCAACCATCGACATGGCTCCAAACACAGCTCCTAACACCACAGACGCGTAAACCGCCGGTAATCTCGACGGAGACGGCGATGACGTGTACTGGAGCTTGTACCAGCTAAGTACAGATGTGAGAAAGTTCCATGAGGAAGCCAAGAGAATCGCGTAGACAGCTACAAAGAGACAAACCCATGTCCGTCTCTTGCTCATGATTCGCATAAAGATAAGGTACGATCTTGGAGGAGATAAAGAAGAGCCATTCGATGTTCTTGGTGATCCTGTTGGATCCATCATCAGAGATCTGATTGAGATTTTTGATTGAGGGTTATTTTTTTCTTGTGTGGGAAATTGAAATCTCCGTGATATGAAATTTGTCCGAAGCTGAAGAAGAAGAAGAAGAGAGCAAAAAAAAAAACAAAAGGAAAGTCTTCAGATTTGGGGAAATAGATTAGTTCACGTGAGTCCCACTCTCATGTAAAAGCGCGTGTTGTGCACTCGTTAGTTTTGAGGCTTGTAGTGGATAACACGCGCTTAAATGTCGTTTTATTTATTGATTTCTCCAAAAGAGACCAGACATGGAAATTAGGAACAAATGAATTATACATGGAAACTGCGTGAACTGTGATCAAATATTATTATTTCCATTAATATCACTTAATTAATATTTTCTTCCTCTCGAAATATGAAATTAATACTAATGACGAAACGCGATTTCTGCGTATATCATTTTTTACTTCAACAAATCTGTTTAAAACGTAATGCATAATCTTCTTTCTTTTTTAGTTTAGTCGTATATATACACTTATATAGGAAGTTAGGGACAAACAAACAAATGCGATTTGTCTTTCCTTTTTTAAATGCGACTTGGCTTAATAGTGCGCCTCTACGCTAATTAGTAGCCGACAAACTAAAATAAAAGAATCATCTATTTATCCTAACCTTTAAATGATAATTTCCTTTTTTTTTTCGTTTTTGTTTTGTCTATCTTTTATGAAGAAGACTCTAAAGGAACGAAACTGCTTGACGTTTACCGCTAACCAATTCTTGAATAATGCATGCGATTGTCATTTTCTTATGGAAGTCTTAGCTTCTTTTCTTGAATATAGATTTTAATATTCTTGCGTCTAGCCATCAAATGAGATCCTCGAAGCATTTATCCACACTAAATGGAACACTAATCATATAAGCTGAGAATCTGCAATCAAATATTTTAAAATTGGATATCGATGTGGTATTGTTTGGCAAACCATGCATCTTCCAAGTAATTGGAAATTAGGAATACTAAGGGGGTGTTATTGGTTTATTAATTTGTAAATCCATATAGAATTTGAAAATTTCTATTAATTATGAAATCAAGATATATGGATTTTGAAATAACATGTGTTTACCCATGGATTTGAATCCTTCTATTTTTCTCTTTCAATTCCATTCAATTCCATTTAAAACATAATTTGGATTCTCAAATCCAAAAACAAATGACTAAACGAATAACATATGATTTTAACTAGTATTTATAAATCATAGAACCAATAACACATGAATTTAATTAGGATTTTAAAATCAATGATTGAATAACAAATGATTTTTGTTTGGATTTCTAATTCCATATAAATCCATGAACCAATAACCCCTCCTAAGATTCACTTCGCATATGAAACAGTTTAACGTACTAACTAAATTCACTTGGCATATGTAACAATTTCACGTACTAACGATCGCAACGACTTTGTTATGGAGTTTAAGCGCCGTTATGGTCAATTTTTAAAAAATATATATGTAAGTTGACACGACTTTGAGAATTTGTGAGAACATTAAACAAATATATTTCCTTGTTACTTTTCCAATTTTTAGTCTTCTAATGATGTACATCAACGAATCCTCTGTTCATATTCCCATGGCCGGAAACGGAGTCGAATTTTGCCATACAACACGGTCGCGATGGCAACACCGCATGCCGATGAAGGTGTCGGCATCCTATTGAATATTGATGTTCTTTATACTAATACTCCTGTTCTAAAAATCCCCGCCTAGCCCCGATTACTCCCCGCTTAATCCCTAGGCCCACCCTATCCGCCTCGATTAATGACTAATCCCCTAAAAAATCAGTAACCCGATTATTCTCCGCCTAATCCGATTACTTCCCGCCTAATCCGATTATTTTCCACCTAATCTTATATACCCCGATTATTTTTTAGATTGCAAGTATAAAAAAAACTTTCATTTTTGTTATTCAATCATTTGAATAGGGAGTTTGTGATGTTTTACAATAATTTGTGTTCAAATTTTAATAAAAATCATAAATTTTTACAATATTGGATTAATATATTTTAAAAATATTAAAATAACCCTAAAACTAATCCCCGGTTAATCCCCGATTTTAATCCGATTTTTCGATTAATCGCTAGGCCCATGCCGAACACCCGACTAGCGCCTAGCGATATTTCAAACAAGGACTAATACACTTGAAAAGTGGGGAAACAATAATAATAATAAAAAAAAGTAAATAAATTAGTTATTAAGACATCGTGCTGTCGTGTGAGACTGTGAGCAAAGTAGATTAAAGTATTTCATAAATTCTCTACATTACACAAAAAACACGCGTGTACACATGTATTTGGCAAATTATCTCAGTCAAACAATATCTGATCCTATCACAATTCTGAACTTCTTTTATATTCGTGATTAATTTCTTATATTTCATTTTTCTTCACTGTTTTAAAATTCTCATGTTTCAATTTAAATTATAAGAACTTCAATGGTATCAATTTATTTTTTAAATTTCAACCAATTTTAGCTAGCATTTAAAAGTTGACTAAAACAAATCGAAAAAAAAAAAGTTGACTAAAACAATGATACAATTGTTTGAATAGGCTGAATAATGACAAATTGACAACAATCGCTCATAACAATTAATCTCACATTTAATAAAGTCTGAACATTTAAAAAATAAATAAAAAGAGAATTCCATGAATGAAGAGATAGAGAGAGAGAGAGAGATGTGGAGAAAAAATCTAACTTTGGTCGACGAGAGGCGGCTAAGTTAGTTATTGACGTTTAGCTATTTGAATTCGTTTATACATCGATGATGTGACTCACTCTACGTAATCGTTTAATCAGTCAAATCTGCTACAACCGAAAAAACAAAAATCTCCCCTTTGCTTATAATTTTCCGTCCGCAACCCTTTTTGATTCCCTAGAGTCAATCTTCATCAGTTTCTCCTGATTCCTTCACTGAATTCCGGCGAAAGTTTTGATTTTTCCGGTTCTAATCACTCTGATCTCTGTTTTCTGTTCTGGGGGATTTCACAGTGCGTGTGGTCTTCCGAAGAAGAATTTAAAAACACGATCTTGTTGGTTTTCGTGAACTGGGTTTTTTCCACTGAGCCATTGAAGTTTTGGTGTTGTGTGTTTGTTCTGAGTGGATTGAAATTAGGGTTTAGATTTTAGGGAAGTGACTGGATTGGATTGTGGATAAAGGTTAAGTTTTTCCTATTGATTGGTTATGTATGATTATGTGTATAGATTCATGTTCTAGAGCTTGCGAATGGGTTGCGTAAATTCTAGGCATAGGCCTTTTAGAAGAAAGTCAACAACACTGAAAGAGTTATCGGAGGAGAAACGTTCCTCGCGGATTGATTCGTCGAGGAGGATAGATGATTGGATCCAACCGGAAGGTGGGTTTGATAGATCGAGTAGCAGGGGAGATGCTAAAGTTAGGTTGATTGAATCCGAAGTGTTTAGTCCAAGTAGGTTTCATGATCATCAGATTCGGAAGATATTAGAGAATCCTGAGATAGTTGATCATATGGATAGAGTTGTGCATGATCAGGGATTGACAAGGGCATCTAGTGCTGTTGTAGACCCGGACTTGGAGATTGATCCAAAAGTTGTAAAAGCCAAGTTAGATCGATGGAATAGTAAAGATTCCAAAGTTCGGTTGATTGAATCCGAAAAGTTGAGTTCCAGTACGTTTTCTGAGCATCATCAGATTGAAAAGGGAGTAGAGAAACCTGAGGTTGAAACTTCGGTTCGAGTGGTTCCTCGGGAACTGAAGAGGGATCCAAGCATTGTTGGTCCAAAGGAAAAAGAGCGGAAGCAAGTGGCTGCAGGATGGCCGTCTTGGCTGGTCACGGTTGCTGGTGAGGCACTAGTGGATTGGGCTCCACGCCGAGCAAATACTTTTGAAAAATTGGAGAAAGTAAGTTTCTTTTGTTAACTCTCTTTGATCCAGATCCTTTTTGTGTTTGATATAACCTTCTTTATTTATGGATGCAGATTGGCCAAGGAACATATAGCAGCGTATATAGAGCTCGCGATCTTCTTCATAACAAGATTGTTGCGCTAAAAAAAGTCCGGTTTGATCTTAACGATATGGAAAGTGTTAAGTTTATGGCAAGAGAGATCATAGTAATGCGACGGCTTGATCATCCTAATGTCCTGAAATTGGAAGGGTTGATCACTGCCCCTGTTTCATCATCCCTTTACTTAGTTTTTGAGTACATGGATCATGATCTATTAGGACTTTCTTCACTACCCGGTGTCAAGTTTACAGAGCCTCAGGTACTGCACATAAATGTTGAACTACCTAATGTAGAAAGCATAGATTTTCTTTCTGCTTCAAAATCCCTTTCTTTTATGTTTCTGTTGTTTAGGTTAAATGTTACATGCGACAACTTCTAAGTGGGCTTGAACATTGTCACAGCCGCGGCGTTCTTCACCGCGATATAAAAGGCTCAAATCTACTGATTGACAGTAAGGGAGTCTTGAAGATAGCAGACTTCGGGTTAGCAACATTTTTCGACCCTGCAAAAAGTATTTCATTGACTAGCCATGTTGTCACTCTATGGTACCGGCCACCAGAACTTTTGCTTGGAGCCTCTCATTACGGTGTTGGGGTTGATCTATGGAGCACAGGTTGCATCTTAGGTGAATTATATGCCGGTAAACCGATCCTCCCTGGAAAAACCGAGGTATGCAAATTCTCGTAGATTTCTTTTCCTCCAAATTCAGGTTGCATCTTGTTTGCTTCAACTCAAATGTAGCCCTTAATCTTTCTAGGTAGAACAATTGCATAAAATCTTCAAGCTTTGTGGCTCACCAACAGAAAGTTACTGGAGAAAACAGAAGTTACCAGCTTCAGCTGGATTCAAAACCGCGATTCCTTATAGGCGGAAAGTATCAGAGATCTTTAAGGACTTTCCTGCAAGTGTTCTTTCGCTGTTAGAGACTTTACTCTCCATAGATCCTGATCACCGGAGCTCTGCAGATCGTGCCCTTGAGAGTGAGGTAACTGGTTCATGATGTTTTACTGTGTTTGGTTTCCTGAGATCATGGAAGCATTATTAGTCAGAAAACTCTTTTTTTTTTTTCTCAGTACTTCAAAACCAAGCCGTTTGCTTGCGATCCATCGAACTTACCAAAATATCCTCCTAGTAAAGAGATTGATGCGAAAATGCGTGATGAAGCGAAAAGGCAACAACCCGTGAGAGCGGAGAAACAAGAGAGGCAAGACTCTATGACGAGAATATCACATGAGAGAAAACCTGTACCACAGATCAAAGGCAAGAACTCTCTATCAATGACAATGGAGGTAAGTAACTGTAAAAGGTCCTAGCTTTTAAGGTCACAATGACCATGGAGATAACTGTAATGCAAATTACTCTTGTGGCAAATGCAGAAACAATATCAAGATTTGAAGAGTAGAAACGATAGTTTCAAGTCGTTTAAGGAGGAGAGGACTCCTCAGGGACCAGTTCCTGATTATCAAAATATGCAGCACAACAGAAACAATCAAACTGGTGGGAGAATTTCACACTCAGGTCCATTGATGAGCAACCGAAACATGGCTAAGTCAACAATGCATGTGAAGGAGAATGCACTTCCTAGATACCCTCCAGCTAGAGTAAACCCGAAGATGTTATTGGGCTCGGCCTCCTCCAAAACACTACTAGAACGACAAGATCAACCAGTCATGAACCAAAGAAGAAGAGATCGACGAGCATACAATAGAGCTGATACCATGGATAGTAGACATATGACAGCACCAATTGACCCATGTTGGGTTAGTAGTTAAATGATCTCTGTTTTTCATTTTTTTTCCTTTTAGAGCAGTTTTCTTTTCTTTACTAACATTGTTGTGTTTTCTGTATGTACAGTATAATCCTAGTGATAGCAAGATTTACATGTCAGGACCATCGTTAGATCAGCCAAGCAGAGTGGACCAGATGCTTGAAGAACATGACAGACAGCTTCAGGAACTTAATAGACAAGCAAACAAGACATCATTGGAAGAGCCAAACTATGTATCAAAGCATTGACCTTTCTAGAGCAGAACCTCAGATTTGTTATAAGAATCTGTTGATGTGATCGGCTCAGGAGCATAAGCCATTATTGTTCGAATAGAGTACTGTATTTAAAGAGTCTTCATAGAGTTCGATGTATGTACATATATACAAAATCTCTTTACATTTACTATACTAAATTGATTGTTGTTCTTGTGTAAATTATAAGGTTCAATTGTAATATTATTGTTGCCTCAGAATCATAATCGTCGTCTCATTGCAGCTTTTGAGACCATCCGTACATTCAAATTGAATAATCCAATTCTTAATAAACTGATAATTAAAGTAAACCATCTTAAAAAAAAACATAAAATTCAATTTCAAACAGACAGAAAAATTTGTTTTTGAAACGAAAAATAAATCTAACTGAAGATCAGAATATGATGTCATTCTCATACACAGAATCTGTGTCAGAAGGTGTCCTAAGATTTTATCTGATTTCTCATCATTTCTCCAGTAATACAATTTCCAGTGCCAAAAATTACAATCCAATTGAAACAAAAACGTCGAGAGTATTCTCCAAAACCGTCAAGCAAGAAAAAAAAAAAAAAAAAAAAGAATCCAACTTTTGTAAGAATCAGAAAGAACGTAGCGAGTTGAAATTTTTATCGATCATATGAATCAAAAGACCATCACCGATCTACAACTTTCATCATATTCTACACAAAACCTTTTCAGAATCGAATAATTCACCAAAAAAACATTAGAGAAACAAAAAAAGAAACACAACATTGGGTTGAATCGAGAATTGGTGTATTTTCTCGGCGTTTACAAGAAGGAGATTGCTATATATAGGAGATGAAGAAGAAACCCTAAACCTAAAAGCATGTTTGGACACAAATACGATTTGGGCTTCGCGTGGATTACTATTCGGATTCGGCCCATTACTACTGCCAAATGTACAATTTATTTACCTTTTAGCCCCTTATTATCTTCTAATTATAATAACAGCCAGTAAGTTTACAAATTTCTAAAAGTTACGACTTTATTCAGTTTCTCGATCTCTCGCAACGCGATCGATTAGCGATGTCGTTGTTACACACTTTCAAAGAGACCTTGAAGCCTTGTGGCAATTTTCCATCATCTTCATCGTTGCGAGTCTCATCTACCCAAGAATTTGAACCATCGAGAAAACCTCCCAAATCGTCTCTCTCACAGCAGCTACTGCGTCTCGATGATTCTTACTTTTTACCCTCCAAGCACGAATCTAAAATCTCAAAAACCCAAGTGGAAGATTTTGAATTTAACGAAGATGATCACAAAAGAAACATCAAGTTTGACGAAGAGGAAGAAGATGATGAAGACGATGAGAAATCAATCGAATTCGGGAGACCCGGGTTAAGCCGGGCTGAATTTGACTATTCCGGTCCTTATGAACCACTTTTGCTGTCATCAATGGGAGAGATTCCGATCATACAGGTTCTTTTCTTACGAAAGTCTTTAGCTTTTGCTCATGTTGATGGTTCTTCTCAAATTCTGGAAATTATTTGAATTTGCCTTATGATTTGGTGTAGGTACCGGCTTCTATCAACTGTAGATTGCTTGAACATCAGCGAGAGGGAGTGAAGTTTATGTATAATCTCTATAAAAACAACCACGGTGGCATTCTTGGCGATGACATGTGAGTTCTTCTTTCTTGTTCTAGTTTGAATGTTCATGAGAATGTTCTTGCGCATTTAAATATGTAGCTGTAATAGTTTATGTTTGGGTGATAATGGAACCCTGATATTAAGTTTTGACTCAGGGGATTAGGCAAAACCATTCAGACAATTGCATTTCTTGCTGGAGTGTATGGAAAAGACGGTGACGCTGGTGAGACGTCTCTTTTAGAGTCTGATAAGGGTCCTGTACTAATTATCTGTCCATCTTCGATTATTCACAACTGGGAGAGTGAGTTTTCTCGATGGGCAAGCTTCTTCAAGGTTTCGGTGTACCACGGATCAAACCGAGATATGATTCTTGAGAAACTCAAGGCACGCGGTGTTGAGGTACTTGTAACCAGCTTTGATACTTTTCGAATCCAAGGCCCCGTTTTGTCCGGGATTAATTGGGAGATAGTGATTGCTGATGAGGCACACCGGTTAAAGAATGAAAAATCGAAACTTTATGAAGCATGCCTTGAGATCAAAACGAAGAAGAGGATTGGTCTCACGGGTACAGTGATGCAGAACAAGATCAGTGAGCTATTCAATCTTTTTGAGTGGGTAGCACCGGGATCACTAGGCACTCGTGACCATTTCCGAGAATTCTATGACGAACCACTTAAGCTAGGGCAGAGAGCTACTGCCCCGGAAAGATTTGTCCAGATTGCAGATAAGAGGAAACAGCATTTGGGCAGTCTTCTGCGTAAGTATATGTTGAGGAGGACAAAGGAGGAGACCATTGGGCATCTCATGATGGGGAAAGAAGATAATGTAGTCTTTTGTCAAATGAGTCAATTGCAGAGACGGGTTTATCAAAGAATGCTGCAACTCCCAGAAATTCAGTGCCTTGTGAAGAAGGACAATCCGTGCGCTTGTGGAAGCCCGCTTAAGCAATCGGAGTGCTGCAGAAGGATTGTTCCTGATGGAACTATTTGGAGTTACCTTCATCGAGACAACCCCGATGGTTGTGATTCTTGTCCTTTCTGTTTGGTGCTTCCATGCCTTTTGAAACTTCAGCAGATCAGCAATCATCTGGAGCTTATTAAACCTAACCCAAAAGATGAGCCAGAGAAACAGAAGAAGGACGCAGATTTTGTATCTGCAGTGTTTGGGACAGATATTGATCTAGTAGGAGGAATTTCCGCAAGCAAGAGCTTCATGGACCTGAGTGATGTTAAACATTGTGGGAAAATGAGAGCTTTGGAGAAGTTGATGGCTTCTTGGATTTCAAAGGGTGATAAGATACTTCTATTCAGTTACTCCGTCAGGTTAGTTTTTGGATTTAATTCCTGGTTTTGATGAATGTAGGAGAATATTTGTCGTTATAAGCTTTTGATCCACTAAATTACAGGATGCTGGACATACTGGAGAAGTTTCTAATTAGAAAAGGTTATAGCTTTGCAAGACTTGATGGTTCTACTCCGACTAATCTGCGACAGTCTCTTGTAGATGATTTCAATGCGAGTCCTAGCAAACAGGTTTTTATTAACCAAACCCTATACAAAAGGGATCGTTTTTCTGCTTACCTGCTTCTGATCAAATGATTAAATGAGCTCTTTTGTGTCAGGTTTTTCTGATATCAACTAAAGCTGGTGGGTTGGGACTAAACCTTGTGAGTGCGAACCGTGTGGTTATATTTGACCCAAATTGGAACCCGTCTCATGACTTGCAAGCGCAAGATAGATCATTTCGGTATGGACAGAAACGTCATGTGGTGGTTTTTCGTTTGTTGAGTGCTGGTTCCCTTGAGGAACTAGTTTATACAAGACAAGTATACAAACAACAGCTCTCAAACATTGCGGTTGCAGGGAAAATGGAGACAAGGTACTTTGAAGGCGTCCAGGTATGTAAAAGTATACAGTCTTTAATTTGTTAGTTTCATTAAAGAGGTTGTTCTCTCTTCCAATGTTTTGGTGCGTCTTATGATCAGGACTGTAAGCAGTTTCAAGGGGAGCTATTCGGGATTTCAAATCTGTTCCGTGATCTCTCTGACAAGCTCTTCACTAGCGATATTGTTGAGTTGCATAGGGATAGTAACATCGATGAGAATAAGAGATCATTGCTTGAGACAGGTGTTTCAGAAGATGAAAAAGAAGAAGAGGTCGTGTGCTCTTATAAACCCGAGATAGAGAAACCTATCCTTAAGGACTTGGGTAAGAATAAGACTGATCTGTACTCATCTCTCATTGACTACATTTTGTGATAAGTCTTTTAAATCTTTGCTCGGGCTTGTGTGAATATTTTTATAGGCATTGTGTATGCACATCGAAATGAAGACATCATCAACGGTGGAGAGACGACAATATCAACATCTGAGAGGCTAAATGGAGACAGAGACAGTGATGAGAACTTAGAGTGTGCGGATCGAAAGAAGAAGAAGAGAAAAGGTTGTAGTGAAGAGGAAGATATGTCTTCTTCAAACCGGGAACAAAAACGAGAGAAGTACAAGATGTTAGCCGAGTTTAAAGGCATGGAGATATTAGAATTTAGTAGATGGGTATTGTCAGCTTCTCTATTTGACAGAGAGACGCTACTTCAAGACTTTTTTGGAAAGAGTCAAGTAACAATATCAGATTTCTTGATTTAGATTTTGTTAATTAACTGTATATAGTCAGCTTACAAGATGCACACATTTGCATGTGTTCTTACTTCTTAGTTCTTACATATCATAAAGGCAACTCAACAAAAAATTGTACACTGAACTGACTGGCTACCTTCTCTGCGCCTTGAATCTTGACACTGGTTTAGACGGTTGAGACACAGAAGACTGTTGACATATAACAAAGAAACAAACAAAATGTAATAAGAATCATGTTCCCTGCACTTGTGACTGTTGTGTGGTTAAAAAGTACCTGCGTATGGCTGTGTGTGCTGGTCTCTTGAATATGGGCATGCTCTACGATTGATCCAGTAAAAGCCTGCACGATTTGGATCAGATATTTAGTGAGCTTAAAGGAAAATCAGATCCACCTGAGCAACTATACAACTTGCTAACACTTGAGCGAAAGAGATATGTATGTAACCTTGGTAGAATCAAACTCGGGCTCGGGTTTCTCTATAGGTGACTGCACCATAAAAAAGTTGGCATGATGATTTGTGAGATGCTTGTAAAGGTTAAGTTTTGTTGTAGAAAGATATATGCATAATGCAAGGTGTTTCCATGGGTTCCAAGTATAGCTTATAGTATAAGATCCACATACCTCAATCTTTTGTGGTCCTAAAACATTGGTTTTTGCCTTTGCTGTGGAAATAGCAGCGGTCGCCTGAAAGTCTCTCCATGTTCCAGCGTTTTGCTGGGCAGTTGCGCTACGAGATTGATCTCCTGGTAATAAAAGAACGTAGATGTTGGTTAGAGAACGTTTTCAGGAAGATGATTCAGTGTTTCATATATTAATTTGACATTTTTCTTGATGTCTGAAATGCTTTAGATCATAAAGCTAACCTTTGGGGAGATATTGTGACATTGGTCCAATACACTGCCATAATGCAATAACAGGCAATATCTGAGAAGGAGCTGTAAAACGCTAATGAAAGAAGAGAAGATAAGGTTTTTCTTACATTCAGCGGATCATCTAGATCTTTGTGCGGATGTGTCTCTGGTAACACTTGAATAACTTTGGCTTTGACTCTTGGCTGGATTAAAGTAATTAAACATTAGGAAAAAACCATTAACCATAAAACCAAGATGTGAAATATCCTAGGACGATACCTCTGAAACCCTCGGTTCTCGAATGGAAGAGCTATGGCCTGAAGTTTTCATAGGAACAGATATGGTAGTTTCTTGTTTCCCATATTCAATCCTACCACAGTCTGTCTCACCTCTGATTCCTTTCACCAAATCATGCTGGCTCTCCTCCAAAATTTCTATTGGAGAATCATGTTCTTCACCTCTATCGCCCCCATCTTCACCCTCCTGTTCTTCTTCCATTTCAAGTTCATTCAACCTGGACATGATTCTTGCAAAGTCATCGTCTTCAAGTTCTTCAAGTTCATTCAACCTGGACATGATTCTTGCAAAGTCATCGTCTTCAAGTTCACCTTCTTCAGCCTCTCCTCCAGAAATATTAGAAGGCTCTCTTTCACTTGACTGAATCACAGGTGCAGATGAATCTTCTTCTACATACTCTTCTCTTATCTCAACAAGTCCTTCCTATAAACAAATGATAACAAAAAGATGCATATTATGCAGAATCAAGAAAAAGGACAAGGCAACAACACATGATCCAGTCTTTCAACAAAACCTACCGCTGCTTCAGAAGCAGTTGTAGCGAAGAATGAAGCCTCCGTTTGAAAATCTTCAATCTCAGCTTTAAGAGAATGAATTTGAGACTGTAAAGTCTTGTCTCTTCTCTTCAAGAAATCAACCGTTTGTTTCGATGATCTATCAGTATAGTAATTCTCCCCCAACAACACCTATGTGAATCACAAAAAAAAACAATGTGAAATTTACACTAGCCTCTATAGCTTACTGGTAAACCCTAAAACCTCATAGCAAGACGACACTATATCAAATCAAATTACATATATCCTACAACTGAAATCGAAACGAGAGAACATATAATCATCATGAAACTTACCAAACACTCGTTGGTATGGATCAATCGACCTGGGAAAAAAGCCATTTTACCGAATGGGACCTGAATACACAAAAGCATCAGATACATTTAACGGGAGCAAAAGTAAACTATATAAGAGAGGAATTGAAAAGATAAAAACTCACCATAACGTTGTGATGAAGCTGATCGGGAAGCTTCTTGACGAGATTGATGAGATTGTCGTTTTCATCGACGAACTGTTGAAGACGATTCATCTCTACTCGCTTCTCTCCGATTTTCTCCTCCACGTAGCTTGCTGCTTTCCGTGCCTCCTCCTCTGAGAACAACGACGCTAACGGAGTCACTGTTCCTTTCGCCGGCGGCTCCATTCCGGTAAGGGTTTAAGCACAACAACGACGACGACCGATTGCAGAAAAAAAGAAGAACAAAAAAAAAAATGGAAATTGAGAGGGAAGCTAGTAGACAATGCTTCTAAGTTATAAAGAACTTAATGGGCCGATTTATCATGGCCCAATATAATTTATGATCTTTTTCGAAAATAAAAGACTCTCTTGTGTAAATTTTGTATATTTATAGTAAATTTGTTGATCCACTGTTAATTTTAGGCTACCCAACTAAAAAAATGTTAAAGTTTAGGTAATTTTAATTTTTTTACTACTCTTGATTTATTTATAGAATTATGATGCGTGATATATTATTACCCACACATGTGTGACATGATACAAGTGTGGAGAATGGGTTGGCAAGTCTTTACACACGAGAAGAAGGCCGACAATATTATGTTACTTCAATTCAATATCCTTTGTATTCAATTCCGATGTTTCGTAGTTTTGAACCTAGCTAAGCAATTGACAAAATCAATTAAATGGTACTTCATTATTTCTATATGTTCCAATGTATATTTGACGATAACACATCATTTACTACAACCACTAAATGACTAAATAATTTGAGAGAAAAACAAAATTTTAAAATTGAAATAAGATCTATCATCAAAGTTACCGCAACTAGTAATCTACCATAATGAAAAAGTTATCACTAAATTTCAATAACTTAGCAACCAAATAGAGTTTTGAATAGGTTTTTAACTTACAAAAACACTTTTTTAGTAACAACAAATTAAATTATTGTATAATAGTTTAGAAATACTTATGAAATATTCTACAGTCAAATTATCCTAAATAATTTTTGATATTTTGCCTATTACGAAAAAAATTTCTAAAATAAGTATGTGATATCCAAGCAGAGACCGGCCAATAGTATGCCGCGTAGTACATTTTCGGAAGTGAATTACATCCACTAATTTAGATTACGTTTGGTAATCGGATAATATGCGTCGTTTCAGAAACGCATATTTTATCTTTTATCCTGTAAAATTAGAGAAGTTAGGATAGAAAGTCCGAACTTTTTAGATGTGTAAATATGATCCAAAATTAAATAAACATGTGATTAGGATTTGAGAAAAAATTAGAGGTTTGGCAAAAGAATTTACAACATGTATAATAAGGTTTTAATATGAGGGATGTTAGTATAATTTTTACTTTTTCTTCACAAGGATCTTAATATAATTAACAAAAGAAAATATTATAAATAAATACAAAATATGCTAAAAGGTAAAGAAGTTTCTCTCTTTCTTCTTCGTCCTCCTTTGTTCTCCTTCTCTCTTTCCATCGGCACCGAAACGAAACAACAAAGGACGAGGAAATACAAGAAAGCCCACAAGAGAGAGACGTAGAGGGAGAGATAAAGGTCAAAGCTTTATTCTTGTTCCTCTCTCTTCCTAGAAGCAAAGATCACTGTTATCAAACAATCAACAATGCCTTCTTTGAAGAACTTCTCCGCCGCCGAAGAAGAGGACGACCAACTGGGTCTGAACTCAGAAGCTGCCAGATTCAATCCCGAAGCTGTGGAGAAAGAAGAAGATCCGGACAAAATGGATGAGAAGGACGAAAGTGGAGATGAGGAAGACGACGTGAAACGTGACCAAGTAGAAGCAGAGGATGAGGAAGCGTTAGGAGAAGAAGAAGGTAAAAGTTTCGTTTTTGCTCTTGTTTATAGTCGTGGATATATTTATATATACGTATGTGAGATATATGAATCGATCAATGCGTGAGTATGTAACATGGAAGTCTTTAATTGGTATTAACAGTTTCAGATTCTAAGGAAAGAAGTCAAGCTTCTTCAGAAGGAGAGCAATCAGAATCAGAGTAACAGTTCTTTTCCCTTTTGAAATTTTCTGATGATTGGTTTCACTGTTGTTTTTGATGGCTTTAAAGCCGAACCTGTGTTTTTGTTTCATTGATCCGATGCATTGTTTGGTTCTTGCTTGCATGTTATAAATACTGTCGTGTTTCTTCTCAAAAATCACAAATTATACAGTTCTCGTGGAGGAACAGTTTAAGTGCTTAGGTTTGATCTGTAGTAACGGTGAATATGACATTGTGCAAGGTTGATCTAGAGATGCTTTATCGTCCAATTGACTTAAGCTTTCTTTGTTGATTTAGTCTTTTTTAGCTTAACTTAAGTTTTTGACTGAGACAGACTTCTCACAGTAGGCAACGGTAGTTGATGATCTTTGCTATTTGATAAAGTCTTGATTTCCCTTGCAGATATTTGTATGTTGATCTAGCGGATATCCGTAGGGACGTGCAATGCTCCATATGTTTAGGTACTCTTCTCTACATTTATATTATAAAGTCAATCAGCTTCAATTGCTTCTCAGGCACCATTATTGTGAATGTTTTACTACTGCTCCAGTAACTTTCATCAACCAACATAAATCTAGTCGTCATTTGTAATGAATCTCGCATTGCGCTAGTTTGTTGTAGATTGTTCTTGGATTGCAACTTTTCTCATAATCCTGTTTTTGCATAGTCATTCACTCTATCTTTCATCAACTCTATTAGTGCAGTTTACTAAATTCAACTGATGCGAGCACTGGTTTTCATTTTCTAGGGATTATAAGGAAAACAAGGACTGTGATGGAATGTCTCCACCGGTTTTGCAGAGAGTGCATTGATAAGTCAATGAGATTGGGGTATGCCTTCCATTTGCATGTTCAGCATTATTTAGGGAGCCTATTGTAAAGCTTGTTCTGGGTTATATTAACGGGTAAATGCATTTTCAGGAACAATGAGTGTCCTACTTGCAGGAAACATTGTGCAAGCCGACGTTCTTTAAGAGACGACCCAAACTTTGATGCCTTAATAGCAACTTTATTCGAAAATATTGATCAATTTGAGGAGGAGGTGAAGCATCAACATTTTTCCTTTTCCTCTTCAACAGTTTTAGAGAAGGGTTACTTATGAGAGATTACTGATGATATATGCCTTTCATTTTTTTTCAGGAAATGGCTTTTCGTCAAGATGACAAGGCTCGTAATAAGCAGGTTAGAAACCCGAGGCATGGCCTCTCATGTAACATAAGACTAACTCACTTAAGTAGATCAAATGCTTCTATGGTGACTAACTCATTATTCTTCTTTTGTAGATTCAAGCATCTATAGCTCAAGTATCGCAACGACAATCTGAGGCCCTTGCAAAAAGAAAGTCTTTTGGTAAAGACGCAGCGGTCTTATCAAGATCACGTCGTAGTGGTAGTGGCTCCAGAAGAAGAAGGAACTGCAGAAACATGGAACAGGATACATCAGAAGCCCATGATGATGATGATCAAAACAAAAGAGGCAAAGATTCTTCTTCAGATGAGCCTTGTGCCGAAATCCTTCTGAGGAAACGAAAAAAGCGCTCTACAACTCAGCCTTCTTCTTCAAATGCAAACAACAACGATAACTGTGCAGGTAATGGCACAGAGCAGACGCATCAGAGGGACAGCAGAGGAATATCACCTGTGCTTATGTGGAACTCAGAAATACTTGCATGGGGAAGAGGCGGTACAAGGAGTAACACAAGGCAAGGAAATAATAACCAAGGAGCTATTAGTAAGAGGAATGCTCGCTTGAATAGACTTGTGGAATATCTCGGGAGCTTAGAGGGTAATAGTGTCGAGGTAACAAAAGAAATTGATCTTTGTTGACCATTGTTTATGATTTACAGTCAATAAATAATGAAGAATTTCTGGTTTTAAGAAACAAAAAATCTATTCTGCAGTTGGATATTCATCTTAAGCTTATCTCGCTGGATACAGAAGGTTTACTAAACTTACTTGAGCCATATCTTTGTTGCCGGCCCACTTTGCTAGTAAAACAACTCCGCGAAGTGAGTTCTCTCCCTCTGAAATTTTAATTTTGGAGTCTCCACTTGTGTGGATGAGAGTTAGAAACCAAATTTGTTGCAGTGACATGGATCTTTATTCTTGTATTATCTGAATGTTGAACAGTATGTGGCACGCCAGATGAAATTGAAGGCTGAAGAGGTTGAATTGTTTGTGTCTAAAGATGGGGATAGGGTGATTGGGAATAAGACCTCAACAGAGAAGATGCAAAGTCTGCAAGATGATGAAACCTTGTCAAAGCTAAAAGTTGATTGCATTTCGAGCCATGGATATATGGTATTGTCACTATTACTAATGTCTATAATTCATTTATTCTAAATCTAGAATCTTGTCTCTCGCAGTGAAACTTTCCTTTGTTGGATTTCTTTTCAGATTGTAGCGTTCCGGGACAAGCGAATCGGATAGAAGAGGTTGAAGCAAGTGATTCAAACAGTGTGAATGAATTAGACTGATATATGCAAGTGATTCAAATAGTGTGAATGAATTAGACTGATATGCTCGAGCTTGTTTTCTTGTTTTTTTTTTAAGACACAACATAAAACATTTTATTTAAAGATTTTTTTTTTTCAGTTTAATAAACTTGAATCAGGATACATAAGACAATGTGCTGCTACTATATTAGTAAGAACAGGTTACACAGGAAAATTCAGTACTGAATCAATTTACAAAGGAAGTGTAGGTTCAAGCATTCATGAACATTTCAGGCTGCTTCTGCTTCAGAAAAAATTACTGCAAACATTATCTCATCTGACCAGCAGAGGCGCTGGTAGCTGCAGAGACAGTTGGTCGAGCCATCATGGTTCTTCTCTCGGTTCTTTTAATCACTCTAAGATTGGGTGATTTTGCTTTTGTGGTCCCCTTGTTGGACTTCTGAGGTAAGAAGGGCTTGTTGAAGTTAGGCACAGGTCTGGCATGAAGAACCATTGTCTTTCTCATTTGCTTCAGAGCTCTCTCTTCCTCCACCTGACAAAGTTGGCAGGTATTATATTTGAGCAAAGTTTATGAGGTACGTTGTTTTCAAGTTAAGCGTGTGTAATGTTACATACCATTTTTGCAGCTTCACTCTCTTCACGGTATCTTTTGTATTGATTCTCCTTCTCTTTAATCTGAGCAATATAGAATATATTCGTCAATTTCAGAGGTTATTGAAGCATTCTTTTGTTTGCTGAAATGACTGAAAAGAATGCTTACTTTATGATCAAAATCTGCTCGCTCAACAGCTCGATGCTC